GGTTCTCCGTTTCCTCAAACCACAGACATTTTTTAACCTTATTTGATATACCACACACACACATTTATTATTATAACCTAGATCTATTTTATTCTTATTCTTCTAATTATCTTCAATTATCAATTTGTTTATTATTCTGTCTACCAATTTGCGATTGCATATTTATTATTATCTTTTCTCTATATATTCTATTCCCAATCTATATCTAGGATTTTCCAATTGACACCCACACAAACACAAACACCTCAACACACACAATTACATGCAAACCAACACTCTCACAATTTTTGCAACTACTTCTTGCAAACTTCTTGGCGCCAACTACTTTTCCAGTGGCACTACTCTTTCTCTATGTCAACCATTTTCCACTTTTTCTTTTTTCTCAATTTTACACTTAGCGTTTTCTATTTGTAACTCTCTTTTGGACATTGAGCCAGCTAATGAAATTATTTTTGCGTCTCTCTATTTATCCCATTTCGTTGTTGTCTCCTCTAAATCTCGTGATACTTCCTTTTTCTCCACCTTTTTTCTTCCTTTTCTCCTTTGCTTATATTTTTCTATACCTTCTCTCACACTTTTTTCCGGACTTTTTTCTAAAATAATATCAATTGGAATATATTTGTACGATTACTATTATTACTACCCTCTACAATTGCTATTCTTTGCACACACCTAGACACACCTTCTACCTTATCCACTTTTTTGTTTTATCGTTTATTTTCTGCTGGCTTTTATGTACCACACAAACACTGAACATTATCTAAACCCAATCAATACCTGAAACCCATTGTACGGCAGTACTACAAACACTACGGACACCACTCCCCCTTTTCATCTAGCACTTCAAAACACAGAATCAACTCGCGAGCACTTAGCACTCGCCATCAGACAAGCTACACATCACTGCCCACCTAGCTTTGAAAAAATTCTTTTCTGTCGATCAGTCCAGCACTGTTTCAAACTCAACTCTTTGACACTGTTTGAACTCCTTATCTTCTGTTTTCTTTTTACCACTAAATTGTTTCTTTTTTTCCTCTTGCTTTCGCACCTTAGAACCTCATCTAAATTGCTTCACCTGCTCGATACCTCACATTGTTTTGTCTTCTTTTGATCGTCTTGCTCCTTTTCTCACCTCATACTATGTTTTTCTTGCCAATAAATCAGCATATTTCTTTCCCTTTTTCCTGCTTCTACATGCTTCTCCTTCCTCCTCCTTCCTCTATCTTCATCTTCCCTTTCACCCGACTGAGTGCATCAATCAAATGACTCTCAAGAGTTTGAGAATCGTCAAATTGAGCAACCAAAATCAAAATCAGTGCAGTAAATCAACCAGCAAGTAATCAATACCAATTGCAGCCCTCAATACCTAGTGCCAGTGAACCACCACCGAACCCTTTCCAGTCTCTACCCCATCAAACATTAGTCAGCACCAGTACTACCAATCTCCTTTTTTCTTTCTATCCATTGATCTGCACTTAGCATCATCTTCACTCTCTTCTTGCCTCACCTTTCCACCCCATTTTCACATTACCACTCGACCACTCGAGTCAGTCTGTCGCATTCGCCCGGTGAACTGTGTGTGAACACTCGACAGTGACACTTTTCTCACTTTCTGCTCACGTCTCTCCTCAAGAATGGCCAAACGCAACGTTAGCCTGACACTGCTGAAAACTGAACATAATTCGGTTTCAGCGGCTCTTTTCCACAAACTCTACACAAACTACACACTTATAACTTTATTTTATGCTTGTATTTTTTGGCCATTTTTATTATTTGGAATCTTTCTTACTTCTATTTATATCAATCAATTACACATTTATTATTTAATAAAAAACCAATTGAAAATAATTAGTAGTTGCATGTGTAAAAGTGCGTTAAAAGTTTCTTCCGTAGTTCATAGAGCAAAAAAGATCACAGAAAACGCCTTCACCCATCATGGAGCATGTTTGCCAGCTCTTCGTTCTCAAAGATCTCACTCCTGACGTCGTCATCGCCGTGCTGCGCCGGACTGAGGTTGGTGACGTCGACGCTGTTTACTCTGACATGGCAACAGGCGGTTGCATTGCTGTGGCCTAAATAGTTCGAATTGCTGAAGATGGTGAGCACCTTCCGGTCGGAGTGGGTGTTGTAGCCCCTAACCTTCACCATACTGTCGTACTGGTGGGCGCGGATGATGTAGTTGAGTGAGTGCCGACGCAGAAAGGCGCGCACTGCCTTGTGGCCCACGACGCAGCCTATGTTGCGCTCGCTATTGTCGATGAAGTACTTTCGAACGGAGAAGTTCCTCGTCTGCTCCTGTCGCTCTTCCTGCTCGGTGTCATCTGGATCGTACAGCCGCAATCGGTCGTAGTCGACGCTGCGAAAGTCATTCCACAGCAACTGCAAAGCCACCTGATGGCGCATCTCGCTGATTAGTCCTTTGGGAATCTTCGTGTTGATGTCGTCTAGTGAGTCGAGAATTCTCGGAATACCTTTTTGTAAAATGATTTTGAAATAGTAACACTGCTGTAAAGTGAAATCATACCGCCATGGCAGCAGAAAACGTTTCCGTTGAGCAGCGCCGCATAAGGCAGCATTGAGAAGCACCTATTGAAGGTTTTCCACACTTCTCTTCCATCAGCGTCAAACTTGGACTGGCACTCTCTGAGGAAGAAATTTTTGTTGAGCCACTGAATCTCGTGATTTCCCCTAATAATGGTGAAGTTTTCGGGAAAAACTAGTCGGCGTAGCATCAGGTAGAGAGCGACTTCGAAACCATGTATGCCTTTGTCGACGTAATCACCTGCGTGAGTAAAAGTACAAACAATAATTACCGAAAAAACAACCTATCTCAGGATGTACCTACCAAGAAAAACAAAATGAAATTTAGCCAGTTGAGGGCCATCTCGCCAGTAGGTATGTCGCAAGTTGACCAGATCAGTGAGCGAGCCGTGCAGATCTCCAAAGCAGATAAAGTCTCGCTGGCTCTCATTGAGACGCACCAAATTGGGCAATGGCTCCATCGTCTGAATAAATGTATCCGCTATGGTGGGCAGATGCTCGAACATGGTCGTTCGAAGCTGTCGTAATCTGGCTGCCACCTCTGTCTGGTGGGCAACGCTGGCAAAGTTTTCGTGATAGTGCTCCAGCACGGCGTCAAAGGTGCTCAACAGATCACTCATCGTCCGTGACGGTGGGGTGACCATTCTAAAGTGAAAAGCGAAAAAGTGTAAATATTTTGAAAAATAGAAAAGTTCACTTTGGCACTCACCGATTTGTAAAAGCAGCTGTTCATTGTTGACAACAATTTCCATGTCAACAAACGCTCTCATTTTAGGCAAAGCCAAACTGTTTTAAACTGCATTTTCATTCTGTTCTCAGCCCCAAAAGATGCAATTTTATCTACAGTTAAAACTCTTCATTTTGACCACTTTCATTCAGGTGATTGCAACCACCAAACAGTACAGCACCGTATCTTATGCCGAGCACTTCTGTCAGCTGTTCAACAGCACTGCAGGAAAATATCTCGAACTTCAAGCGCTGACAATCGACAATCGTCAGCTGTACTTGATGCATTCGGATAATCTCTACATTATTCCTCGTGAGAATCTCAACTCGACGGACAATGTACTCTACATGTACAACATCACCACGGGCAAACAGTATCGCCCGGTGAAGTGGTTCGAGGTGGTCGGCATTGACAAACTGAAGAGCCTGGCGGCCAAACATCAACCAAAGAATGGCCCTGGAAAACTGGCCACCTGGCAACTCTTTGCAGTGGACCGATGGCATGCTGTTCCGCCGACAAGGTACAATCTGCTGATGAGTTACGTCTTCAAGGGCGACAGTGACACTGCCTACGATGAACTGCTCATTGATAGGCTTATTGGCAGAGTGCTCTACGACTCCACCGACAACAACACTGTGGGCAATCCGAGCATCGACTACAAACTGCAGGCACGCCACCTGCCCTTCAGAGCTATCATCGACGGACAGAACAGCACCAGGGGATACCTCTTTCACTATGATAAGACGGATGCCGATGCAGCAAAGAGTAATCGACCGAAGAGGGTGCTCATCGATGTGCTCTACCGAAAGCCAAGCGCACCTGGCGCACTGGATTTTATCAACTTCCCACTAAATGACAATCAATGGAAAACCGGTGCCTACATTCAAGTGAAAAGTGAAGCTCACGCGCGGTCAGAATTTAACTTGCTCAAGTACGGTTCAGGCACAGCAAAGGGCTATAAGAATCAGGACTTTTTTCATCATTTACCACTGGGTTTTATTGGACCTCATAGTGAGGTAAGTCTTCTGAATGATTTTTGACACCTTGAAATTTGATACTTTCTTTATTATGCCACATTAGGTGTACCTTTTCAGTGAAGCTGAGCAACGTGTCTACCGAATAGACTACTTTAATCTAACGTTGGATAAAGCACTGCCCAAATTGAACATCATTGCCGACAAGCAGTGGGCGGAGTTTTTCATCTGTTCACCTAAGCAGAAGGTTAAGCGGGGCAAGGACCTGTCACCGTCAATGACCCAAGGAGAGTACCTGGTCTATGCAGACAGCTGGGAAAGACGGAATGAGGTTCATGAGGTGCATTCAATGTGGACTGCCAAGTTTATGGTTGGTTTAGTTGGTCTTGGTCTGCTTATTGCAACGGTCCTCTGTATGACGATGCTCAGGATCCGCAAACTTCGACTTGATGAGCTGAGGGAGCAGGCTAATGCCCTGAAGATGCTATCCACTAACATGTAAGTGATGGTTGTTACTAATACGTGGTTTTGTTAATCTTATTTTTATATTTCAGTTATGAAAACACATCGACAAACACTATAGCAGCACTTACCAACAACACCTTTACCGGAGAAGATGTTACAGTTGACAAAAAATAAATCTTTTTGAAATATTTTATTCTCCGGCAGTTGCTAAACGCAAAAAAGTAAAGATACTAAAATAAAAAATCCGCAGTGCATTGCAGCTCTGTTCAAGTTCCTGAAGAAGCAGAGCCGAACTACTGTTGTTCATTCAGAACCGCTTGCTGAAGTCCCGCTGGCATGAGCAGCTTCTCTCCGAAAGCAATCTCTCGGGCAGCACTGACGATCATCTGGTGGCCGTTGACAAAATTGACCTGCACGTTGCTGTCCCCTTCAACATCAGATTGCTGAAAGAGAGCACCTATTGGGTAAAGCGCCTCGGCAATGGCCACCTCGCGGTAGACAGCTGAAGGATAGGGCGGAGAGGCCATGAAGACGGACACCGGACGGCGAACACGACTGCCAACTTCCAACTGAAGAAGGTGGCGAAGTAGAACGTGGCTTGCTAGTTCTACTTCCTTGGTAGTGGTGGTGGTGGTGAAGAAGCCGCACTGCTTTGCAAGGTCCATCAGCTCGTCGGCTGTGCTGCACAGGCCATCAGTCAGTTTCATTCCAGACTGAGCACTGTACAGTTGACTGTACAGCGACACCAAATCAGCTGGCTCCAGACCTGAAACTTCTTGCTCATTTTTGATCGCCTGATCAATCGTCTTCAGTCCGGTGCTGAGGAGAATGCGCAGCGCCAGATGAGCACCGCTACTCAGATGATGCAGTTTCGGCAGAATGGCACACTCGAATCGGTGAAAGGCTGACCAGCTGATGTCACGGCAGGCGGACGAGCAGTAGAGCACTTGAGTGCATGTAGTACAAGGAACCACAGGACCGGCCACCTGAAGACGACCACTTTTTGGGTGAGTGCTTTCCAAATTGACGCAGCAGAAGTGACAGAAGAGCAGCTCGTACTGCTCGTACAGTGCAGCGAGGTAGGGCGCCTCCACGGAGACCACTTCGCCCTTACCGATGTGGCTGGTGGCCACCACAGCTGCAGATGAACCATTTTCTTTTCCACAGTAAATGGGCTTCACTTTGGCGCTGAGTGAGATGGCGCCAGCCGACGGCTCGTACTGTCCGCTGTTCATCAGACAAGTCACCGTCTTCAGAAGTGGATTGAAGTCAGCCTCCTCCTTCTTTGTAGAGCCATAGTTCTCTTCAAAGTAAAAGTGGAGATGCTTCAGGCGCTCCACTTGTGCACGATCCGCCTCTGGACCGGAGGGGTTTTCGATCGAGGTGAGCACCGACTCAGTGGCCCAGAGACGACGAGCTTCACTGTACTGGCCGACTGCAATGAGGCACTCCACTTTGCGAATGAGCAGTGCACGGTAGGCGAGCGATCGACCACCTGTGTACTTGTCGTCGGCTTCGATGGCACAGTCAATGTCCACTAGGCAGTCAGACCACTGGTGCAGCTGAAAGAAGACAGCGGATCGCTTCTCGTGAGCAAGTGCCAGCACTGACACTGCTGAGTCAGCAGCATTCTCCACAAAACTGCTGCTGCCTTTCAAAGGTGCGTCAGGAGCGTTAAGAATTGCCAAGGTGTACAGGTACGAAGCATCTTCAAAACGGTCCTCTTTACAGGCTTGCTCTCCCTTCTGGAGATATTCCAAAGATTTAGCAGCGTCTTTCACTGACAAAGAAGTTGCAGACTGCTGTTTTGGTAGTTCAGTAGCCAGTTTGCTTTTCACCTTTCGGTGTATCACTTGATCACCGTCATCAAGTTGTTTAGATATCAAAGGAGACTTATAGGCATCACTGATCATGTTACTTTCTTTTTCTTCTTTTTGAGTGGGCTTTTTTGTCGAATTGACGAGTAAGAAACGTTTAAACTGGCTTCGATGATCAGTGACAGTGTTCATTTTTAGGTCACTTTTCAAAAAAGAAGCTCTGCTACAAAAGCCAAGTGTGAATACTGTTTACTGATAGTCAACGTCAGCTCAAAGATAGTCTTTTCTAAATTCCAAATTAGCTCAACTTATTCTAAAATATTGTCTCAGAAAATGTTCACAATTGTACAAGAATGCTATAGAGTTGCAAATAACATGGACGTTTGTTGCCGAAAACAGGATTAGCGTTGTGATTTTGTGTTTATTAGAAAAACTGCTTTGTGAAACTAACCTTTCTGTCTGCTGAAAAATATCATTTTCACTCGAGGATGCCTCGAGAACGTCGTCCTCGTCAGGCTGCCATTGGCCGTGCCACCAATCAGTCTACCTATGGCTCTCGGCCAGCTCGAGTAACTCGAGCAGCTACTCGTCGTGCCCAATCATCGCCAAACTCAAATTCTACGGTGACGTCCGCTTCATCTGCTTCATCCACTTCATCAGCTTCACCAGCTTCTGCTGTTCTGGAGTTTTCTCAGCTATTTCCATCGTTTCACTCGCAAAATGAAGACGTGCTAATGGTAGATGGAGGAGCAATGGCAAAGAAGCTAAGCAGTCACATTACTGCCCTTTTGGATAACAAAAAGCAGCCACGGGTTAGTTTAAAACACTTAACTTTAGATAATGTAATTTTTACATAAACTTGGTTTTGTTTCAGAAAAACAACTTTGCTGACTTTTACAGTCTTGTGAAGGAGATGATGGAGCACAACAGTCAGCCAGACGTCTACCAGGTGGTCAGTGAGTGCATTCACAAGCACTTCAGTGCAGTAGCCAACGGTTGCCGTCTGACCGCTGCCGTCTCCTCTTCAATGGTCAACCTGACTTCTGTCCAGTCAATGATGGACTTTCATTCGACCTTCTTTGGCGACAAACTGCTGCATCTCGCTGCCGCCATGGCTTATGCCGAACGTCGAACTGTGCCCAACCCGGCAAAGCCGGTTCTGTTGAATGAGCTGTGCTGCCGTGCCTTTCTCCAGTGCTTCCTCAGCCAGGAGGGAGCGAAGCAGTACATAGCCGATCTGATCGTCTCCTTCTTCACCCGAATGCGCAACAGCTACACCGAGAAACTTCTTTCCAAAGCTGCCTATCAACTGCGGTACGCTGATCGCTACCAGTCGTACATGGCGGAATGGACCAGTCAACAGCAGTCCGCCTCGCTGGTGATCAATCTGGTGAAGATTCTAATCAGCTTGGATCGAGCAAAACTGAGCGTGTTTCACAGTTTCGTGCTGCTGCCGCTGGTCAAGCGTAGCATCAGCTATGGACGAACCTTGGCCAGTGAACAGCTGTTGAAGTTGCAGCAGCAGCAGCCAGGAAAAACGATGAATGACTACCTGCGCTGGCTAACCAGCTACCTCCAAACTGACCGCTACCTGTTGGAAAAGCAGTTCAACTTTCCGGCCCAATCAGCAGAGATGATGAGCGCCATTCTTTGCCACATCATGGGCTCACTGCAGATGGACGCGTTCATTATCGGTCACCCAAACAGCGGCTTCAAGGCACTGCTTGCCAATGAATCCTTTACGGAGCTGGCAACCATGCACAGCCTTCTTGAGGAGTTGTACAAGCAGACAAAGCAAGCCGCCCTTTTCGACAGTGTCAATCAGAGCATCAAGCAGCATTTTGAAGATTTTCAAAGTGTTTTCTATGCAAGTCACCACTTGACAACTCGAAATGACCAAATGGCTTTTGTGAAAGACTTGATCATGCTGAAGCACAAATGGAACCGTCTGTATTTCAAAGTTTTCTCAACCTTTTCGAAGGAGATGAAAGTAGTGGAGACGTTTAAAAAAGCCTGGCACCACTTTATGTACAACATGCTGCAGCACTACGAAGCAGTGCCCTTGGCCTTGGCCTTCTGCATGCACAACCTTTTTCTGCAAGGCAACAACATTGTCACTGACTCCTTTCATCAATTGGGCCTCCAGTCAGCTCTCGACCAATCTTCTTTGAAAGACAAGCTAGGCCCGTTGACTGAAAACCAAAGTAAACGCATCTGTGTTCTCCTCAAGATGCTCTCTTTTCTGAAGCACATGAAGGACGTCAATAACTTCTACGACTACTGCAAGTACTACTTCTGCAGTCGACTGCTCAACCCTTCTGCGGCCGCCTTCAGCCCTGCTCAGGAGTTGGTCTACTTTGAGGCGCTGGTAGAGAAGGTCAAGCAAATCTTTGTGGACAACCCCTCGCTGACATTTGGCAACAATACGGCGGAGCTGCAGCACAAGCAGTTCACTCAGTCACTAGGCGACTTTGACGTGATCGCCAACAGCTGGCGCAACTCGAACAGCTCTCAGCTCAAAGCCAAGCAAATTCGCATCTGTCAGCTGGCCAACTGGAAGCTGCTGCCATTCGATCGCTGCCACCTGCCGCAAGCACTGGAAGACGATCTCAAGAAGGTCGAAGAGAGCTACCAAACAAAGTACAAAAGTCGAAAGCTGCTGCTGAACACCACCCTCGGACGTGCCATCATCGAGGCGAAGCCGAATCTGGGCAGGCAGCCAGTGAGCCTCTCCGTTTCACTGCATCAGCTGGCCATTCTGGAGCAGTTCAACGCCGTGGCGCCCAGTGTGCCCCTCGCCTACGAGCAGCTGCTGAAAGGGGGCCAATTTTTGGTGGAGAGCAGCGCCAAGTTGGCCCTTCTTTCGCTCGTCCACGGTGGCCTTCTCAAAATGTCACAAGCTCAGTCGGTGTGCTCTTCACTGAAGTTTGAGGTGGATGAAAACTTTGACATGCAGAAAGCTAGTGGGCAAAATAGCCCCCTAGACTTTGCTTCTCTGGAGGAGGTCAACTATTGGACCGAGGAGGCGGGCACTGTTGATTTGAAGACGACTGACTGCATGAAGGCGCTAAGAATCGCCGATGCCGACATTGTCATGGCGTCCATCGTCAAATCGGTGGAAGACGTCAGAGGCAACTACGCCTTCCTCTTTCTCAATCAGCTGAAGAACGCAAAGTTAAGCAAGTCTTCGAGTTCTGCGCCTGTTTCGACAACTGCTGACAATCAAAAGTCGGCAAAGACCGTCGGTGACAGTGTCTCCGATCGACTGGTCAAAATAGAGGCGGCCATTGCCCGCGTCATCAAACGTGCAGGACAACAGGTCAGCCTTCAGGAGATTTACTCTGCAGCAAAAACGGAGCTTTTTGTCACCAGTCGGATGCCATTTCCAGCTACTGATGTGCTCAGCAAGGATGAGGTCTGCACCTGGACGCTGAAGCTGGTCGAAAAGAACATTGTCAAGCGCACCAAAACTGGAAATTTTACTTTCAACCTCGATTGAAAGCAACTCCAGACAATTTTTTTGCTCAAAGATGTAATCACCGAGCATTTTAAATTTTTAAATTAAAACTTTTACATTTTTGAGAATTTGAAGTTGAGGTTTCTAGAAAGTTAAAAGTTCCTGACTACATTTTAAAACAGGTAAAGATGGTTTTTGTCGCCGTGAGGCTTTTATTGATCATTCTGATTACAAGATATTGTGCTGAGCTAACATCAAATGAAAGCAAAACATGTAAAAAGAATGCAAACACTTGCAATGAAAGTTGAACTTTTTACAGAGAAAACTACTTGTCTGAAAAAATGCAACCTGTTAATAAGCTCCACAAAAAGTTGCCCAAGCCCAATTCTCCGCCCGATTTGCTGTTTTCTTCTGTCGTGCTCTTGTTCTCCATTTCAAAGTCCGCCGCCTCTGTAGTAGTCATCTCAGTCCACGAATCCTGATCCACCTCTTCGCCTCCAGCATTAGCAAGAGCAGCGTTTTCTGCAAAGATTTCCTCCACCACCGCCTCTACTTCGTTTTCCACTTCAACCCAATTATTTTCCTGCTGATGATGACGTCCTTCCGCTTCCTCTCTTTTCCAGGAGGGCAGCAGCTCATGGACGCACTTGACCTGGTCAAAAAGTGCCTTTTTGGCCGGCGATCCCTGCGGGTAGAAGCGCCAGTGAGAGACCATTTTGTTTGCTGGTCGGCGACAGGTGGGACAGTGTTTCAGCTTCCTCTCGCTCGCCAGACAATCGGCACAGCGGATGCAGTAGCGGTGTGAACAGCAGTCGAGCAGGGCGTATTTACGACGAGGACGGATTGGCTCAAAGCAGATGCGGCACCGGTCAAAGTCCGGGTCATCGTCCACACGGAGGCCTCCTCCCTCCTCATCACCGCCCGAAGCCTTCACCGTTTCTTGCTCAGGCGGCAGCGACCACGCCAGGCCTTGGTCCATGCGAGCGTCACACACGAGGCGGTACACTGATTCGACGTAGAGGTAGACGTTGAACTTTGCCAACTCCTCTGCCTCGACGCTCCACCCATCACCACTTTCACCACCGGTGACGGCGTCGAGGAAGTGCCGTTTGGCCGTGGCCAGCCAGTTGTCCATCCAGAAGTCCACTTCGGCGGCTTGCTCGTGGGTATCGGGGAGAAGTTGCAGATACTTTCGATCAGGACGGTGCTGAGGGAAGTAGTGGTGAGAGGAGAGTGCAGAGAAGAGGTGTCTGTGGGTGAGGCAGGTGGTCAGGTAGAGGGCGACCACCTTGGCCATCCAGGTGGGACAGCGTCCCTTGTACAGCAGGTGGCGGTTGCGATGGTCAAAGAGCAGCAGACGGCTGCTGGCCACGCCGCACACCGGACAAATCAGCAGGCGGCACTGGTAGTCAGAGCCGTTGTACAGGTCCACCAGACGATCGGCAGCGGAAGTCCAGCTGAGACAGGCAGTGCACACTGGGTGGTTACAGTGAGAGGGCAAGGCCATTTGAAAGGAGGAGGAAGAGGCAGGAGGAAGAGATTTCACCCCATAGCCATCATCTCGAGCCGCCGAGCAGTGCTTGCACTCAAAGAAGAAAAGAGACTCTTCAGGAGTCACCAGCGGAGGCAGTGGTCGGTC